CGACGCAATCTGGATTCGTATCGCGTCTCGAGAATCTGTACAGAAAAGGTGGGGCCACTCTTTATTTCGCAGACGGCGAGAGGGAGAGAGAGACGTGGACCGTGGCCCGATCCTGGAACTTGTTTTGTCTGTCCAGTTCACTTGAATGTGCGCGCGGCTTTGGTGCTCGCAAATCCGAGTCCTTCACCTGGCAGCCGCTGGAGGTCGTTAGTTACCACCGTGTTACAAACATAATCGAGTCTTGAATCGCAATAGTTCACCATAACGCCCGGGGCACATGGGGGGGGGGGGGGGGGGGAGGCGGTTAGTGAGCAGTTCTGCCCAATACTCAGAACGATTGATATCGTTTGGAGGTGGCTGTGCGTTTTTTGACACCGCATTTTCAAGCGCACTGTGTTGTTATCATCCGACGCGTTTTTTTTTTCGTTTGCGCTGGCGAGCCGCTTGGCTCGTTAGTCCAGCCGCCACCGAACTCCGGCCGCCCCGTATTCCCCAGCGCCTCCCTCCCCCCCCGTGGACGATCATATCGTGCTTACCAATCTCGCTCATTCCCATGCAGATGGCATCGGCGAGTGGATCTGTAGGCATCGGAAGCTGCACCGCAGGGGGGGGGAGAGGAGGATGATGTGGGGAATGGGGCGCAAGGTCCAGGTATTCGGGACCCCGCTGCATCTGCTGTGGATGCGGCACAGAGGAGGAGTTTGCGAGGGGATATGTCTGCGGGTGTTTTCATAGCTGTTTGTGTGTTTGTCACGTGCGTGTGTGTAGCTGTGTAGCTGCTGGTCGCTAACAGTGCTTGCCCTAGCAAATCGTGGAGGCTACACGGGGGAACCTTTGTCTTTGTGCAGGTACACTGTATATGTGGGGAGTGGTCGTGCGGCGGTTATGCTGCGAACCCGACGACCCGAGTTCGATTCCCGCTCTCGGACACCAACGCCAGCGACGATTATCCGAACCGGTCCTGGGCCTCCCCTAGGTCGACTCAGCCTCCAATGAGTACTTGGTGCGATGTGTAAACATCGTTTTTGAGCATTTGTGTGGCGCGTGTGCGTTTGTCATGTGCGTGTGTGTGCGTCTTTGTCTTTGCGCGTGTGTGTTTCTGTTTTGTGGTTTAGCTATGCATCACCACGCGTAATGCCAAGTCTCACGAGCCTAGTTTGTTTGTCTATCCAGATTTCGAAATTGAATTGTGATGTTATTTATTTAATATTTTGACAATGCCAGCGATAATACGCACATACACACTACTTGCACGCGCACAACTCTATACACGCAATCATTTGCGTGCATTGAGATATGCATTTACAAATACAATTTACACTTATGGTCATACACACACACGAAGACCCCTGTGTATAGCAAGAGCTGTTAGGGTCGGCACGGCACCACACGCCTTTGTCTCTCCAGCGGCGATGTTTACGCACCGCACCAGGTACTCATTTGAGGCTGAGTCAACCTCGGAGGAGGCCCAGGACCGGTTCAGATGATCGTCACCGGTTCGACGGGCTCGTTGCAAACTCCCGCTCCCCCACAGCCACGCACGCACGCACGCACACGGACACTTTTCTGAACGCGCACAGTTGCATATTGCACGTACGCACACTCGCAACACGAATGTGCCGTGGCCTGAAATAACGAGCGAGCGCGGGAAATGTTTTCCCTTCGCCAAATGCTTAAAACGTGGACAAGAGCTTATGATGGAAATGTCATCGTCGCGCTCGAGATGCACGGGCTTGGCCTTCCGACGGATTTGCTCTTCCCGCGGGAAATCTCTGCAGCTGGGATTATTCTCTAGCCTGTTAACCATTTTGGGTTTTTTTTTTTAAAGGGGAGGGGGTGGGGGGGGGATGGGGTGCAGAGGGGAGGGGCGCGAGAGTGGGTGGTCGCTTCGAGAGCTGCTCGCTACAGTTTCTGCCACAGGTTTTGTTCAAAGCCATCGTACACTTTGTACGATGGAAATTAAAAGATCCCCCTTATAGCCTAAAACAGACTGTTGGGGCAAGTGCTGTTAGCGAGCACCTGTGAAGGTCGGCAGGGCACAGGAGCGGGTTGGTGGCGAACACCACGCCTGGCGGCCTTTGTCTCCCCAGTGGCGACGTTTACACACCGCACCAGGCTCTCATTTTAGGCCGAGTCAACGTAGGGGAGGAGGCGTAGTACCGGTTCAGATACTCGCCACTTGTGTTGGCCGTGAGCGGGAATGGAACTCGGGTCGTTGGGTTCGTAGCGCAGCGCGCTAACCGCAACACCACCGCTCCCCACCTTTGTATGATGCACACACACAGCGAGACAAAGCCAACGGACGCCCCGCATGGGCAAGTGCCGTTAGCGAGCACCTGTGAAGGCCGGCGCGGCACACAAGGGTGCGGTGCGTGTTAAGTGCCACACCCTGCCGCCTTTGTCTCCCCAAGTGTCAATGTTCACGTACCACACCCGGTACTTACGTGTCAGGCTGAGTCGGACTAGGGGAGGCCCAGTACCGGTTCAGACATAACGTCGCTCATGCTGGCCGTGAGCAATGCCACTACCCGCAAGATGCTAATGCACGCGTGTACACGCATGCACGTGCATATATCCACGTATGCACCCAACACAAAAGGTGTAGTTATATATTGACAAGTGTAGATGTGGCCTCCGTAACACTCGTCAATCTGTCAGAATGGAAGTGAAACAGAGGTGAATGTGTCGAGATCGGAGAGCCCCTCAGGCCGGGTAACAAGTCCGTTACGAATCATGTGATGCTGTTGGCTGGCTCCGATTGGCCATTGTGCTTTGTGTGAATGGAGTTCCGCAAGGTGGTGACCGACCCCATACACAGTTGGGGCACCATGGTGGTGAGATGTTAACTACCTCGCTTGGTATGGAGGAGGTTGTGGGTTCGATCCTGACCCTGATGCCTGCTGTATATTTGGATTTTGCATGTCTCTCTCCCCGTGGTTGCATGGATTTTTCTCCGGGTCTTCTGGTTTTTCCCTCCACATTTAGAATCGACAACGCGCGTTTCGAGTATTTGGCTGATATAAATGATCACGTGATAATAAGCCACTTCGTTGACCTATCATTTGTCGTAGCCAGCTCGCTTCTGAAAAAGAGCTATGTAGCTCAGTGAGCCTTACCTGGTAAAATAAAAAAAAGTTGAGTTTCTAGTTTGATCGTTTTTTTTTACCATATTTCTTTGGCATTGGACATACTTTCGTGGTCCCCCAAATCAACAAAAAAGAGATTGTCTCTATGCAGGGGAAGCTTAACAAACCCCTCTTTTGGAACGGCCATTTATCTCGCTAACCCCGGCGCCTTTGCCCTCCGGCCTTGGAATGCGAGGACACGCGCCTGCGGCCATAAGCTTCCACCAAGACGCACGCCGTTCCCTTGCCGCACAGCGACGCGAGGTGGGAAACGCTCCTCCGTCGTGGTCGGGGTTGAAACGTCATCCAAGGGGCAGTTTCTTTTTTTTTCGGGAATGTTGGGGGGGGGGGGGTGGAGAGAACACCCATGACGGGACATTTGCCTGCTGGTCTCACGCAGGACATACGTTGGCAACGGACTCCTCGAGGTCCACAATCAAACGGCAGCGGGGCACAGCCAGGACTTACGCTCTCGGCTGCAAATGCGAGGAAGCGTGCAGCAGCAGCCTTGTATAACGTGTCGGTGGCTGAGGCGGGTTAGTTCAATTGAAGCTTCTCTTGAATTTTTCCGGCGAGGCGTGGAGCACGCCTGACCCCTAGTGGGCAGTTTTCATTCACAGCTCCGTCTACGACAGAGTCGCCTCTAAACTCTGCAGTCCTCACAACCGACCACCACGCTTCGTCTTTTCCACGTTTACCAATTTCTCTCTCTCCCCCCCGCTCCCCCATTCAAGGAGTAACAGCTCAACCCGAGCGATTAATTGCTTTGGTGTTTGCGTCGCCTTCGTACCGTTCGCCTTTTGGCGACCTCTGGTGTCTGTGGCACCGGTGAGACAAGGCCACAAAAGTGGCGCTCTCTGGTGTAGGCCAATTTGGTTTCAAAGATAGTGCATAGATTGTCAAAGGAGATTTGTTTGCATTTTTTACCACAAGTGCAGTCTTGATGCCTTGTGATAGGCGCTCATTTGGTGTTTAAACATCTTAACACCTCTGGCATTTATGCCAGACTGGATGGGTAAAGCTATTTTAGTTGTTGTAATTTCATAACTTGATAAAGGAAAATAACGTGACAAACATTACAAATGAGGTGGTCGCAACGGGGCTCGATTTAATGCCGTTGTTGAATTGAATAATTTCCACCAAATTGTGTCAAATTAAACTGCGGAGGTTTTTTTTTTTACGGAAGTGCCCGAGACGTTATAAATACTTAGAGGTTTATTTGTTTAAATAAAACGTTTTATTTATTTGATTTGCTTAAATAACAAATGAGTGCATACTTTTATGTAAATACTGTGTCCTACTTCCATGTTCTCATATGACACCGTACTTATAAATGCAAAGATTCCTTGAGCCTTAATTGATCGTCAGGGTCAGTGCTTTTGTTCGCGAGCACCTATACATTTGGAACTTGCTTGGTTGTTGTTACCGCGGTGACGTGGTTGGCACATGGGACTTTCGATGCAGAGGGTGCCGGTTCGACCCCATCTCCCGGCACGACGGTTGAGGCGGTGGCGAGTTTCTCAAATCCCCCCCAGGCTCTGTCCACTCCGGCCAGCAGTGTAAGATGGGTCCAGGGCAGTCGATTGGCATGTCAAGTGGTGGGCTACTCCCACCGCTTCCAAGACGTCCGGCCAGCGTGGAGAAGTCGGGATGTTTAGAGGGGTTCTCGAGAGCTCCTTCTCATCTCATGGAGGCCCAGTGGCATCAACTAGACATTGCAGGGCTGCGCCAGCGTGGGTAACAGAGATGAGTGCTGCCGCCCCAACACCGCTTTGATCGTGAACTTCCACTTTGAGCCTTTGTTAAACCATTTGCATGTGTTGCCTGTGTCCGTGCGTGTTTGCCTGTGCCCCGTGCGCTTCCACGCGTCGCCAGGGCGGGCCCCTTCGGGACGACGCGGCTGAGATCCACGCGACCCTCGCGGCGCTCGCGGGCAGCATGGCCGGCCCCGCTCCTCCGGCCGGCGCCAGCAAGATCAGCCCCACGCCCGACTCCTACAGAGGTGAGCGCGTGCGCCCTCGCCCCCAAAGTCTCCCCTGCGTAGCTCGCCAGCCCCGTACGTACGCCCCGTCTCGCCGACCGGGCCAGAGCAAGACGTGGGGAGGTGCGGGGTGACGGGTGGTGCCGTGCGCCGGCACGGCGAGCGTCCGGCGGCGGCCCGAGCCTCCTTGGCCGTTGGCGGAGCTCGGCAGGTGGACCGCAGCTGCGAGCGGAACGTCGCGAGAGCGACGAGCGAATCCCCCGTTTGTCGTTTTGTTTTTCTCCGTCCCCTGCCCTCGCCTCGCTCCGCCGTACGCCCAGTGCTGGCAGCGCCCCCCGCGGCGGGCAAGGACGACTCCCAGGGGGCTCCCCCTCCGGGGCTCGTGTCGAGCCTCAGCACCATCCTGTCCAGCGTCGTCGACGCGGAGCGGAACGAGAACGGTGGAGAGGAGGAGAGCGACCTCATGGACGACCGCGGCTCGGAGGACGACCACAAGAACGACTCGCGCAGCAGCCGGACCAGGTGGAGCTCGGGGGGGGAGGGGGGAGGGGGTGGGGGGGAGGTCTCCGTGAGAGGCGACCTCGCCGCGCCTTTTGGTTGCTCGGCGAGGTAGCCCGACGATATCGTAGCCAAATTAATCTAAAACGGCGCGCGTTTCAAAAATGCGCCCACCGCGGGGGAGAAAGATCACGCGAACTCCAGAAGCGGGATCTTTGTTTAGACCGGAGGAATCCGATGAGCTATGAAGCTCTTTTTCACAGGTGTCCAGTGGGAGTGGGTCAGCAATTTACAACAACAAACAGTACAAAGACACGATAGAAATAGAGATATAAATATAATGCCATACAAGTATAAATTGCATATGTACATAAATTCCTGCCGACTTTTCAACACCAAATGCAAGCTGTTGGGTCTTACCTGGTAAAAGAAATAGTTTAATAGCTTTAAAAAATACGGTTTAGTTTTAATAGCGCGTAAACGCAGCTGCCATCGCCCAACGCCGTACGGTCTCCGTCGCTCGCAGTCGCACGCTCACCCCGACCCTCACTTCGCCCCGCCATCGCTCGCCGCTCACACGGACCTCCGTGTCCGTTCCCCCCCACCCCGCACTCCTCCTCCGCTCGTCGCGCAGCAACCACGAGGACGACGACGAGGACCTGACGCCCGAGCAGAAGGTGGAGCGGGAGCGTGACCGGCGCATGGCGAACAACGCGCGCGAGCGTCTGCGCGTGCGCGACATCAACGAGGCCTTCAAGGAGCTGGGCCGCATGGTGCAGCTGCACCTCAACAGCGAGAAGCCGCAGACCAAGCTGCTCGTGCTACACCAGGCGGTCGCCGTCATACTCAGCCTCGAGCAGCAAGTGCGAGGTGTGGACCGCCTCCACCACCACCACCACCACCTCCACAACCTCCACCACTACCTCCTCCACAACCTCCACCACCATCACTACCTCCTCCACAACCACCTCCACAACCTCCACCACTACCACCTCCACAACCTCCACCACTACCTCCTCCACAATCACCACCTCCACCATCACCACTACCACCACTACCTCCTCCACAACCACCACCTCCACCATCACCACTACCTCCTCCACAACCACCACCTCCACCCTCACCACTACCACCACTCCCTCCTCCACAACCACTACCTCCACTACCACCACTACCTCCTCCACAATCACCACCTCCACCATCACCACTACCACCACTACCTCCTCCACAACCACCACCTCCACTACCACCACTACCTCCTCCACAACCACCACCTCCACCACCTCCTCCACAACCACCACCTCCACCATCACCACTACCACCACTACCTCCTCCACAACCACCACCTCCACCACCTCCACTACCTCCTCCACCACCTCCACCATCACCACTACCTCCTCCACAACCACCACCACCACTATCGCCTCCACAACCACCACCAACACCACTATCACCACTACCTCCACAACCTCCACCATCACCACTACTGCCACTACTTCCACAACCACCACCATCACCACTACCACCACTACCTCCTCCACAACCACCACCTCCACCACCACCACTATCTCCTCCACAACCACCACCTCCACCACTACCTCCACAACCACCACTACCACCACCACCTCCACCATCACCACTATCACCGTCGCCACCACCACCTCAGTGACCTCCTGCACAATCGCCTCAAGACCTCCACCACGTACACATCCACCGTCGCACCACTACAACCATCACCTTCACCACCACTTCCACAACCACCACCACATCCACTGTCGCCACCACCACAACCATCACCTTCACCACCAGTTCCACAACCACCACCACCAACATATCCACCATGGCTTGGTCTTCTGAATAATTGTGTTGTAGTCTCCGGATTATAAAGCACGCCAGAGAGCAAGACACACCCCAAATGTGTGTACGGTGTCAGTAAAGTTATACAAATCTGGTCACGCTCACGCGCACACACACACACACGCGTACCGCATTATGAGACGCACTGCAAACTGCAAAATACAACAGTGGCGAACGTTTACATGTTATAGTCCGGAGAACACAAAACGTGATTATTTTTTTGTTTGTTTTTCCCTTCCCCGCGCCGCCACCGCAGAGCGCAACCTGAACCCGAAGGCGGCCTGCCTCAAGCGGCGAGAAGAGGAGAAGGTGTCGGGGATGGGGGGCGGCGGCGGTGGTGGTGGGGTCGGCGAGCCGACTCACCCCGGCCTCAACGACCAGAACCCCCTGGGCCAGCTCTGAAGCCGCCAGGTGAGCGCGCACGGTGCCACGGGACGTCGCCTCGCTTAGATCCCTTCTCACCGCGCGAGAGCGTGGCCCCCCGGGGGAGGGGGGGTCCATGCCGTTTGGGGCTCTGAAGAGTCGGAGATGCTCAGCCGGGCGCCGCTGTAGAGCCCTCCGGGGTTTTAAGTCGCCCGGTCTCCGCGCTTGAACCGCGTTCTCGGGCGCGGCGAGTTGGCGGTTCCCGCGGCCCGGTCACCAACGACCGCGCGAGGAATCGACGCGCAAAAATGTGGCTTTATTCCACCTCATGAGAGGGTGCAGTGCCGCAAATTCTGATCTTTGCTTCGGTACAGTTAACATCTTTGGCCTTAAATTTTGATTTAAAGCTTTCGTGACTGCAGTAATCCATATTCTTAGTTTTTTCGGTAAAGTCACGTTGAGGGGAAACAACAAAATAATAAAACATATATAAAATATATATAAAACAATAAAAAATTCTCACGACGTTTCGACCATAAGTTTTCAACGTGACTTTACCGAAAAAACTAAGAATATCTTTGGCCTTTTTCTTCGACCGTCAGGCAAATATTTTCAACGCATTTATGTCTTTACGTTTAGTTTCACGTTCGCGTGTTTTGTTTATATTAGCGTCCTTGCGCTCTAAAAAAAAAGCATAGGGCAGTGCTCGCCTCAATTTTGCGCAGTGCTGAGTCAATAATGGAAATTACATGTTCACATGACAGGAGCCATTCTTTCATTAGTACAGCCACTTTTGATTTAAAGCTTTCGTGACTGCAGGGATTCATATTCTTGGTTCTTTCGGTAAAGTCACGTAGAAGGGAAACAATAAAATAATAAAAATATAAAACAATAAGATTCTCACGACGTTTCGACTGCAACACAAGCAATCGTTGGAGTCGAAACGTCGTGAGAATTGTATTGTTTTATATTTTTATTATTTTATTGTTTCCCTTCTACGTGACTTTACCGAAAGAACCAAGAATATAGTACAGCCACTGTTGAATTCCTCACACAAAGTGGTGGTTATTTTATTGACCCTGCAGGACAGACTGTGTTGATGGGCCAAGTTGATCCTGGCTGGGCTTAAACCCCGGGGGTCTCGTTACTCGGAGGCCCTGCTGCCAATTGAGCAATAATCTGCTACCTACAACAAAAACAAAGACAACAAAGACACACGCACGCACACACACACACTGTCTCTGTTTTTAAATGTATCTCCGTTCCGTAAATATGTCTGGACAGGGGGGCTGCCCCACACTGACAATTCATTTTAATAAAATGAAAATGTTATAAATAGCCAACTTTGGTTTTTAGAGAAAAAAAAACGTTTTTTGTCGACGGTTCATAATTTGAATATAAACATTTTACATTTTAAAATGTCATCGTACTTTTAGGTGCGACCCCCCCCTCACCCCTCACCCCCTCCTTATTTTCGTGGCCTCTGCACGAATTTTTGGGGTATTTTTTTCTGGCCGTGAATCGCCCTCGTATTTAATTGTGACAGAATTGTTAACTTACATTTCTTACATGTTCTGTTTTTCGAGATATGTGGAAGTAACTGTGGCCATGTTTCCATTTTGTTTTCCCTTTTCAGATGGCACTGCCTACCAGTTCTAACCGATGCCACTCTGAAAGTTTGCCAAACTTCACAAATGGATGTCTTTAGTGTGCAAAAACGCCACTGACCTATTTCCGTATTAATATAATAACAATTTTTTTTATCGTAAGGGAAAGGGTGGGTGGGTGGCGTGTGGGGGTGGTGGAGGGAGAAACAAATGGGAGAAATTTAAAAACAAATGGTTTTTCAAAAGTTAAAAGTGGGACAAAAGTATCCAGCAAAAACTTTCAACAACATATCAAGAGCCTACGGCAGGGGATATCAGATCTGGCAAGGATGTCGACGGTCGGCGGAAAGGGGAATGGCAATGCAACGTAAACCAATAACGATAGACTCACCAACCACCACCACGACGACCACGACGACCACGACGACAAAGGGATAAAACACAAAAGCAACAGCATCCGCACTCTTTAGTGTGGACAATTTCATCGTGCCTAAACCATGTTTGCTAATTAACGTTTAAAAAAAAGAAAGAAAAAGTTGACAAGATATATTTATTTATTACAACTCAAAATAAAAAAAAAGACTAAAAAAATTTACAAGTAGCAAAACCGTTTTTTAAAACTATTTTGGATAATGTTGTTGTTGTGCAGACTGCAAACGTATTTTATCCAAGCATTCCTTGGGTATCGGACGTTGTCTTAAGGTTTAACAGACACAGTGCTTGTTTCGGGTGGTATCCGATGGTTTTGATAATGATGGTGGTGGCTGTGCGTGTGTGTGCGCGCGAGTGTGTGCGTGCGTGCGCGTGCGTGAGTGCGAGTGTGTGCGTGCGTGAGTGCGAGTGTGTGCGGGCGTGTGTTGGAGTGCGTGCATGCGTTCTGCGAGCGCTCGCCTCGTGCCACGTGTTTGGTTTCGGAGCCACTCGAGGGCCCCCGCCGCCGCGGTGGGCTGACTTGGTTAAAAACGCCACCTCTGGGGAGGAATTCGACCGAAACCTCCCCCCCCCCCCCCACGGTTCACGCTGTCACCATCCACGCGACCCGAGCGCCGTTTTGTTCATTCTGCTGAACTACGTTGCGCGGTGCTCTCTTTTTGTTTGTTTTTCTTTATTCCTTCTGCGGTTGAGGCGGTCGCTGGAACCGAACGTCGTCTCTCTTGCAAAAAGCCCGACGGCCCCCCCCTCCCCCCCCCCCCCCCCCCCCGAGTTTGGACGCAACCGCCGCGAGAACGACGCACCCCACGAAGGCGACGAACGCTAAACTGATGGGCACGAGGGAATTGGCGGCGTGGATTAAAGGGCGGCGCAGGCCAGCGTGCGCGCCGAGTTTGTGCCGGAGGCGACCCTGCCCCCCCCCCCGGCGTTGGGCGGCGCAGCGAGAATCTGGCAAACCGGCGACGATGCGCCATGCTGAAGCAAGACAGCCGACTGAGATTTTCTTTGCTGTCTTTCAACGAAGCCGTGAGTCTCGCCGGTGGTTTTCGTAGTTTGGGATTTATTTTTTTACCGCCGTTTTATTTTTTTTTGTCAGTTAACTCTTAACATTTGTAATTTGACTGTTGACACCTGCATGCAAACAAATGTCACAGGGTGCTCTCTGATAGGGTCCTGCAAAAAACTAAAGGGGTGGCTCAAGTGGGAAGTAATGAAACCCCAGCGGTGAGCGGTGCTGTAGACGCCGTACAGGATTTTAAGGCCTACCGTGCGATTCGACGGGTTTGCTTCGTGCCTAGCCGAACGTAGTGCGAAAGAAAAACAAACAAAAAACATCGAAGCGGGCGAAACTTTTCTTTTCCGTTTCTGTACGCACGCGCGTGCGTAAAGTGTACCTTTTACACGGTAACTGTGCTTGTTCTGCGGAGGTGAATGAGGGCAACGCTCATCTCCCCGGCCGCTCGGCACGGCTCGCTGAGTAGCGCTCGGCACCGGATCGAGCCGTCTCCCTGCTTTCAGCTTTCGACGCTGAAATACCACCGTGGAGTCGATGAAAAAGCCTTTCCGTCCTTTGTTGACTCGCTACTTTTACAAACGGTTACTTTTAAACCTTTTTAATTTTTTTATATCACTGTTGTCTTGATTTCAAACCTTAGGCCATGACTCCCTTGTCTTCTTCCTGTATTTTACGTTTTCTTGATCTCCAATTTAAAGTGGCTATGGAGCGGACATGACCCATGGTCTCGTTGTATGGGAAGGCCTTTTTTAGTTTCTGGCCATTTATTATTTTATTTGTAATCATAAATGCAACGTCTCGTGTTTGAGTTGGGGCTTCCACCTCTAAAAAAAAAAGTGAAAGGCCGCAAACTTCTGGAATCGTTAATTTTAAAGTTAGTTTGTATTTGAAATAATTTCCTCGGCTGCGTTGCTGATGTCAAGAATCGAATGTTCGTTTGGTTGAACTTGGCGATAGAGAAGCACAGGCCTGCAACATGCTGGGACAATAACGCAGTGAGGTGTAGCCGAGCAACTTCTACCGTATCTTGCACGGTAAACCTGGTGCAAATGAAGCGCAAATAATCAACAGCGTAATGATTATCATAATCGTTGATAGTATAATCATGATCTTCATCATTGCCAAAATGAGAAGTCGTCATCGCCATTTGCTCAGTGATCGTCCTTGCCGTTGTGGTTGTGTCCACCATAGATCGGCAGACCTTGGTTCAATTGACGGATTGTTTGGCTCTTACAGTTGTTTGATAAAATCAAACGCAAAACTCGGTTCATCCGTCAGTGATCCTTGCGCTTTTTGAGCAAGTCGCGAGACGCAAAACCACTGTGCCCGGTACAAGATTCAAATCCCAGGGGTTTCACCAGTGCCGGCTCGTGCGAAAGCCAGGAAGCAACCTTTCCCACCGTTGAACACATTTTGGGGTTTGCAACGTTTCCACTTTGGTGTGTCAACGCGATCGAGACCCAGGGGTCATCTGCCGGTCAAAGCAGTCGATTGACGCCGTGCCTCGCCAACGCTGCCAGCCACGTGACCAGATCGCCGCGGCCGCTTGCCCGGTGGAGAAACGTAGTTTGTCGGCACACATCCCTTTGTCACGAACCACCAGGGAGCGAGGCTTTAGTTGTGGCCATGTTCTGTCCCCTAAAGCCTCGCGACGCGTCGTGTCAAGCCGGCCGTCTGGCGAGGGTGCTGACCTTTTTGGGGGCTCCTGTGGAAATGGCAACGCCCGCCGCTGGAGGTCGTCGCGTGACCGATATTCCCGCTTCTTCCTTAATTTGCGCCTAATCACTCTTATTCTTCGCACCGCTGTTCTGTCCAGTTCCTCCAGCGCCTTACGTCATCCATTAACCTCCGGGCAATGGTCAAGGCAATGGGATTGAAAAAGGGATAGCCAAAATATGATGAATAGGGTACATTTTATAGGATGCTACGGTGTTTTTTTTTTCTTTTGACGCAATGCCAGTGCTCCAGTCGATGTTTTCAATTAAGGAGACGAAAATCACAAAGAGACATATCACACCGGCTAATCAAGGCCCTGCCAATGCGCGCGTGTGCGTTACCTGTGGGTTTCATTTTTTTTGTTATTTCGATTTACAATAATGTTTATAAATGAATATTTGTTTTCTACAAAGTTGAAGCTCCCCCTGCCCGCTATCTATTGAAACCACGACGGTGCGGGCACACTTTCACGACAAGGGCGCCCGCTGCGTTGCCGGCCGTCGTTAACGTTTGCGAGTAGTTTTTGAGAAGCAAAAGAAAAGGAGTTGTGAATAACGTTTGTGCGTGATAAGCCACCAGTGCCCTTTCCGAGCCAAGTCTAGAGAACGCTGTCATTTGCCAAGCTTCAACACCTTGCGATTGAAGTTGTTTGACTTATCCATTATGTGTTTTCTTACACCTGTGTCGAATTATGGAATTATGTTTTTTTTAAAGGTTCGTGTGTGTGGGGGGGGTGGGGGGGGATGAGGGGTTTATTTTGTTTGTTGATGGGTTTGGGGCAGATTCCCGGTCGGATTTGGTGGCCTCGGGGAGCTGATGAGCGTGGGAATGGACACGCACACGCGCGTGTTTTGCCGTTCAGACGGTGCCTCCCGGCGTGTTGCTGGCGACCCTGGAGGAGGCCCCCCCCTCTCTGGGCGTTTTGTTAACCCTGCTCAGAGTTCACCTGCTCAGAGTTTACCTGCTTAGAGTTTGCCTGCTCGAGGATTCACCTGTTCAAGGATTCACCTGCTCAGAGATAACCTGCTCAGAGTTCACCTGCTCAGAGTTCACCTGCTCAAGAGTTTACCTGATCAAAAATTCACCTGCTCAGAGTTCACCTGCTCAGAGTTCTCCTCTGTCGCAGTGTTAGGCGGAAGCAATTAACAGCATTCTCGCTCTACATTTCATTATTAACCACGGCGTTTCACGTTACCCAAATACTACTGTACGTACATTCTGTGCGTACGTTTTTTTCTTCTGAAAATATAATCAAGTGGATGGACATGTACACACGCACAGCTTAGAATATAAAAATTGTGCCCCACGTCTGTGATTGGCGCAGATGGGGTTAGGGCTTTTCAGAACGCACCCAGCGTTATATTCGGTGGCTCGGCGCGTCGTCATTGTCAACATTTCGGCCAACACACTTTGCGTTTGTGCGAGGCTAATGCGTCCGGTCGCACGGTTCACATCGAGCGTGTGCATCGGGAATGGGGGCGGAGGGGGTGGGCGAGTGGAACGATTGCAGCAAATTCAGGGTAACAATTTTATTCAAGGCTCAACCGTTTGTATCATTGTCTCGTGTTGCAGTGAAACCTTCACATACGGCGAGAGGAAGTTTCAGAGCGTACATTCTTGCACGCGTCATTACGTGCCGCTTGCACCGTGAGCTTGAGCGTAGACCTGGGTCGATCCCTAAATGCATTGCTTCTAGATGACAACAACGACACAGATCCCCCGTGTAGCCTTAACAGACTTTTTTGGGCAAGTGCTGTTCGCGAGTAGCCACTTATGAAGACCTACACGGCACACGAGGGGGTGGGTGGCCAGCACCACGCCCGGCCGCCTTTGTCTCTCCCAGTGGTAATGTTTACACACCGCACCAGGCACTCATTTTAGGCTGATTCGACCTAGTGGAGGCCCAGGACCGGTTCAGATGATCGTCACCAGTGCTGGCCGTGAGCGGGAATCGAACCCGCATCGCCAGGTTTGTCGCGCAGCGTACGCGAACCGCTGCACTCCCGCTCCGACATGACACATACCCAGAGACACACAGCCACACACGGTAACAGCCGTGCGTTGTATGACATTGTCCACGAAGCTGGTGCACAGATTGTCTTGTAGACCACACACTCCGACCGTCGAGATGGCACAAATCCTCAAAGTTGGGAGTGAGCAAGCGCGTATCGTGCATACGTCTCGCGTGCTTATTTTTTATTCCGTCAAAAACAATTGCTTGTTCGTCTCGACCAAATTGTTTCCCCGTTGTTACAGCAGCACAAACGGTTGTTTACGTGAACCGACTCTAATCGGCCGAATGTGGTGTTCAAATTTCAAGTCATGAAAAGTCTTAAACCACTGGTGAGCCGCGGTTGCATAGCTCGGCAACTGATCGATACGTCGGCACGTATAAGTAATAATAATACTGTGTGTAAAAGTGACAATCTTATCGGGTAGGGAGGGGGGAGGGAGGGCGAGTGACGGGGAATTTTTGGCATGAAGCTGCCACGTTGCCTAAACCCAAAAACAAATGTGGATCCGTTGTACTGGCTACGAAAACCTACCATGTCAAGTCGCCGATTGGTTGTGTGTGCAATGTGACGTTACATTTACCCGATCAGTTTAGGAAGATGTTAAACGTGTTGGTTTTATTATTGTATATCTTTGCGATGCTACGTGGTTTTCAAGTCCATGTATTATCTAATGCAATCATGTTACGTTTCTACGATACATTACAGAGCTGCCAACTTTTACAATGTAATTGTGTTTGTTTTAGTTTTTTTTTTGGTGGGGGGGGGGGGTGCTGGGGGGTCGATGTCCCTAACATTGATTTGTATCGTCACTGGGCTCCTCGTTAAAGAGCAAGCTGGGATAGGCTGACTGGAGCTGCTTCGGCAGCACGGCGACACACTCACGTTCAGCCCCAACGTTCCACGGTAACTTGGAGACTGACCCCCCCCTCTCCCCCGGTAGGACGTTTAAGATTCAGTTCCAGTGCTTGTGTGGGGTTTGTCCCCCCTATCGTCCCAAATTATGGATTTTACCCCCCCCCCCCCATCAAAGCTGACGACAAATCGGTTTTTTTGAGCCAACGGTCGGCGCATGCCTCGCTATTTGTCACTTCCATTTTTGCAGCTGTGTTACATGTGCATGTGCGTCGAGGCATTACCCGCGCGTGCCATATCCAGTCTCATTAATTTGTGTCCAAGCAGGCTGGCCGTTGACCGCACTGAATGAGCATGTAAAGCACGTACATTATTTTTTTCTCCCCTAAATTTTAATATCCATGCGCACACAATGCAATGTAGGCACACGGCACAGATCCGTTTCTGGAAGCCTTGGAAACAATAGCAACAGCAACAAAAACGTCGCTCCATCCAAACCGATCGACCGAATCCGAAGCCTCGCCGTCACAATCTTTGATCGCGCGACAGCGTCCGGCGCATTTCACGCCCCCCCCCCCCCACTCGCACACCCGGCAGCAGCGCTCAATCGGCCCTTTGGGCGTAGTTTAAAGAAGGAGGAGTGCTTTGCCATCGAGTGCGAGTCTGAGCGCTCCCTTCAATATTCCGATCCCAAGGCTCGCTGTGAACCCGTGACGTTCCGTGGATTTGCTGCGCGCGGCGCTGCCCGTTCGACGAGAAAGCAGAGAAACCCCCTTCGATTGACCGGCTTCTCCAAACGCACTCTCCCACAGCAGCAGTGCAGCAGTTGGGCGCATTCTGCCGAACAATTTCACATCGTAATAGTGTGCACGTGTTTCCTTTTGTTGGCCGGTACAGCAGCTTTATGCAGACATGGGATCAATGAAGGCGTCGTGGGCGATAAATGACCGCGTGAATGGGAAAAAGAAACCCCGTTTCGTCGCGACTGGGTTTATGGCGCAACATTTAATTTGTCAAAGTCGTCGGCGCGTGTTTTTTTTTTGTGACATCGATAAGATTCCTCGTGTCTGTGCAAAGTTAAGTTGCTGTTGTCGTCATCTTATTTTTTTGGGTGCAGGAAATGAAATGTACCGATATCTAAATGAACCCTGATCGCTTCCAAATGAAACGGGCTTCCACCAGGGGTGTAGCCAGAGCAAGAAGGGCTTGGGCCACTTGGCCTCCTCCTCCTCTTCGTCAATTACCAGTGTAGTGTTCTTAACCCGCCCCCTCTTTACGTGCAACCTCAAGCCTAGGGTGCAACCCAGCCTGTTCGTTTTGCAGCGGGAAGCGCGTTTCCCCGCTGCGCAGCCAGGGCGCTGTGCACAACACACGTGGCCATGGCAGGCTAAATAAAAGTGGGATAATTAGCGAACTGCAGAGCCATCGTAAAGCAGTGCTCTGCAGGGGGGGGGGGGAGAAGCATTTCATTATTATTCAAATGTCAATAAAACTAGTCTGACATTTCACTTGGGGAAGTTGAGAGAGCGTTTCCAGTCATGTGACCACAAGTGGCCAGGAGCAGGGCTCGCCACGAGTGAGGCCTCCCAAACAAGCGGTGCCTTGAACAAACTGCTTCTCGGCACGCGATGCAGTGAACAGCGTCTCGGTGGGGAGGGTGGGGGGGACCGCTGCTTCTGGCTGCAAATGCGGCCCGCGTGCTTCCCAGTGTTCCGCCATTTCTCTAGATTAGGTGAATGGCCCTGAACAAATAACGGTTTTTACTTTGTCAAAAATTTCTGAACCTTATGCTTTTTTTGGGACCCTGAACGATGTGAGACAATGTGGTTGTATGCATTCGGAGACGCATAGCAGTATGATTCAAACGTTTTGATTTAGCCATGAACGGGGGATGTGCATACATGTTAGCTCTCATACATACAATCCCTGTGTATGCACGGTGCCTGTATATATGTACACGCAAGTTGTAAAGTAAACATTTGCCCCACCGTATTTACTGTATTATATACAGTATTTTAAATGTGTGCACATGTGTGTCGGTTTCCCCGTGCTCTTAAAAGTTCCCCTGAGTTGTAGGACAATTGGAACGAATTCCACATTTTTTGAACGACCTGGGAGGGCCCAGTCTTTTCCAAAAGCACAATCACTGTTGACTTCCCACCAAAAACTGTGCAGCTTCACACCGCGTGAATTTACCACTCATTCTACCGACCCCCGGACAGAGAGAGAGGTGATGATTGTGATCCGATGGAACTGGGTCTAGCCACGACAGGGGATTCAAACCGATTGGTCGAGCCCTCGTGGTCAAGAGACCGCCGTTCTCCCTCCGACCCGCGGCCGCTTGAGAAGACGCGGACATTGCACGGCGTAGCCGTCGGTCCCTGAAGCTCGGCAACCCCTCCACTCCACCCTGGCTACAGCCCTGGCCTCAACCACCCCCCCCCCCCCCAAACATTTCGAGTAGGCGATGTCGTCAGGGTTTGTCGGCTCGCGACGCGGCCGTCCTCTGGGAAGTGGCTGTCTCGTTCTCTCTGGGCAGCAGCAGCAGCGATTGTCTCCGTTTAAATGTCGCTCATCGCCGCACTGCAGCGGCGCTGGGTGATCCGTCAGAACAAAACCGCAACTTACAAAAACCCCGTTGGGCCATTTGGTACCGGCAACAATTTTACTTTATTTGTTCTCTCTATATATACTGTATATTTTATTTGTTGAACACAGCATCATTGTTTTTTGTTTTGAAACGGGGAGATTGCTTGGTATTTTTGTACACCCCTAAAGCAATACACGTTGCGATGTATTAAACCGAAAGGGCCTGAGTTTTATGGTCTTGTATACGGCGATGGAAACTTAACGCGCTGAACACCCTGCGTAGAAAAACACATGAACATGAGCGAAGAGGATCACATTGTTATAACAATGGTTAAATATTCTTTTCAAGATATCCTGTTTTGTTCATGCAACAAAAAAAAAACAGCTGCTGTGGCCTTTGGTTATTTTATTTTCGTCTCCATTTCAGTATTTGTGGACGCAACTGAAACGTGCATTTTGAGAAAGGGGTGGCCAGCGGTATTTTGAGAACGGAAGCAAAAAATTGGGGAGGATTGTATACGGAGGAGGAGGAGGAGGTGACGATGACGACGATGACGATGTTTTTTTAAAATTCACAGTTCCTAAAATGATCGTGGGCCCACTCGCACGGCCGCGCGGGGTTTTTTTCGCGCGCCAGAATTTTAAAAGTTGTACATTGCTTTTCATTTATAACGAGAAACGAAATGCTTTTTTTTTTGTTGGGGACTTATTTTTCCCGCGTAGCTAGTCTTTCTAGCTTTCTTTTTTTTATATAATGTCCCTTTTAACCTTGTAATAATTATGATGAAAGGAAAATGTCGAGACTGTGGAAGGGGGAAACATGGATACAACTTTTTTTGTCACAAATTGTTATTACCATTACCCTTTATAGTTTTGAAAAAAAAATATCTTAATAAGTAAAAAAGAAAAAATACAAAAAAAATGTTACTTTATTTTACTATGATAGCTAGGAATTCTAGGTATGGTTTGGCAATAGCATTATGGTAAACTACCAAACTGTATTGTATGCATTATCATTTACGAAACAAGAATAAAATAAAGCAATGGTGTGCTGTTTTTAGGCTAATGTAGCTTTAGTGCCTACGGATGTAGTTTTTCGTTTCAGATTCATACTGTGTGCTCCAAAATATAAGATGCTTACTCGGACATGACAGAGTTGGCATACAATAGAAGCCTTAAGTTCTGTGTAGGGACAATCTGGGTCCCGAAGTGGTGGCGTTTATGAAACACCTATCCGGTATTACACGACCGTCCTGAATTACCGTACAAACTATCTTCCATTCGTTCTTCGTTTTTATTATAATTATATATTTTTAAATTGTTATTTTCTTTTTTTCATTTTTTTTTTGGCTACAGTTGCATCAACTGTCATGTGTATATAACATTGGTAGCAATAAATGTGCAGTCATTTTTTTCTAAACCTGAAGTCTGTCTTCTGTGTGTGCGCGCGTGCGTGTTCTGTGGGGGAGCGGTGGCAGCGGTTAGCGCACTCGCGTTACAAATCCGGCGACCCGAGTTCGATTCGCCGCTCGTGACTGCGGTAATAACAGGGACAAAGGCGGCCGGGCATGGTGGTGCTCACCCCCCCCCACCCCCTTGTGTGCCCTTTCTGCTTGAATAGGTGCTCGCTAGCAGCAATTGCCCCAACAGTCTGTTAAGGCTATACGGGGGATCTTTGTCTTTGTAAAGGCACAGAAATGTATACATGGTGTACCCCAGATTCCTGCCCCGTGTACACTGATGCCGCTTGATAATTGAACTTGCTGTCGCGCGAATCGAACCAACCTAAATTGGGCCTCGTGTACAATATTCAACCTGCTATTGGCAATGTTATGCCTGTTGGAGAGGAATTCGGGAGCATGCACGTGTCTGCACGTTGAACTTCTTTCGCACCGTACGTAGCCAACCGTGTTAATCGGAGGTGCGGGGGAAGGACAACAAGAATAGCATCGAGGGTGGACGGGGAGCCTAGGTGACTCGGCTGACACTACCCGAATGTAGGTCACGACTGCGATAGCCACTGGGCAAACGGCGTGGCCCAAACCCAGAATCTCGGCAGGCCCTCGCCTCGGGCCATTTACGTGGCTACTTGGGCCAGTGAGCCATTCAGGCCGCATCATTCGTTGTGTCTTAATATTCTTAAAATGTATTTCCACGGGAAAGCCTCACTGAGACTCCTGGCAAAGTGTTGCAGTTGGGGGTGGCCATGCTGCTACGTATTTCAAACATTTATTACATTTCAGCTTTCTTCAAATTTTCTCAATTTTGGACCGCGGCGCCGGAATCACAGTGGCCCTAATCTTTTTTTTTAATAAACAATGTCACGGAACGTACCAATGGTTGCATATTTATATTGACGCTAGAGTACGCCCGCCCGTGTTGACCAAGGGCGGGCCCTTGGTGCTCGCAGTGCGAATCTCCGCGACGGTTGAGGCCCAAAACGCGCCGCCCGGACGAGACGGGGCTACGACGGCGTGCGTTCATTCGTACGCGCAGGGCCTGCAGGCACTCCTCCAGCTCCTTGACCACGTGCCGGTGGAAGGCGAGCTGCCCCTCCAGGAAGAGGGCGAGAGCTCGCTTGAAGATTCCGCTCGCCGGCTCTCAACACCTCCAGCTCCTCCGCCATGCACACGCACAGCACGTGTTGGCTCGGCCGTTCGTCGCCCTGCCCGATGCACGGATTCACACGCGAACGTTTTGACTTCCCTCTTTCGGGAAACGGCTGAGCAACGGCTACGACTTCACACACGCTGTTGGTCAAGCGGAGACAAACCGCGTCAGGAGCAGCGGAGTGGTTATCGCGCGTGACGTCTCCTTCGTATTTGTGGATGGGGCATTGTCGTTATGCATTGTACGCTCTGTTCTGGATGACCACAGTCGCGCACTGGTACCGGCGGGTGTTTAATTTTTCCGTTTGTGTGTCAGGTATCCGCGTCTGCCAAGGTCTGTGCAGTGGATGCGATTTAGGTGGGACCATGAGCTTCGTGGAAGATCACACCCAGGGGATATTCTGCGTTGGGTCTTTCACAACGAGGAGTTTGCGAGTTCTGTCGAACTCCATTCAGCTCTCAAAGCTCCACCGGGGTTGAATTCGCAAATATTTCACTGCACTCCTCTGAGTCTACAGTTCCCGACCGTTCGTCCGTCCATTTGTAACGATGAGAACGAAGTCGTCTGAAACGTGTGCATGCTGGACGTACCACTGCTTCTAAAAAAAAACATGCATCACTCTTTTTAACGTGTCTTTTTTTAAAATCGCGTTTGCCAAGAACAGACCCGATGAGCCCCGAGAACGTCAAGCGGCCAGCAACAAACAGCACTACCAGCAAGCAGCACTATCAAGAACTTTGGGTGGGGGGTGGGGGGTGGGGAGGGAGAAGAGACGATGGGGGTAAATTACAAGTAGAGCAGTGCGGGGGGGGGCAGCAAGAGAGAAGTGTTGTGACGTGGAGCGTGGCCAGCGAGGGTGTGCGCGAGTTGGGCAAGTGAGTGAGTGGCTGGGTTGGTGAGTGGCGTGGTGAGTGGTTCGGTTGGTGAGTAGAGTGGTGAATGGGTTGGTGAGTGGGGTGAATGAGTGAGTGGGGTGGTGAGTAGCTGGGTTGGTGAGTGGGGTGGTGAGTAGCTGGGTTGGTGAGTGAGTTAGTTGGTGAGCAAGTGGGTTGGTGAGCAAGCGGGTTGGTGAGTGGGATGAGTGAGTGGGTTGATGAGTGGGCTGGTGAGTGAGGGGTTGGTGAGTGGGGTGAATGAGTGAGTGGGGTGGTGAGTGGCTGGGTTGGTGAGTGGGTTGATGAGCAAGTGGGTTGGTGAGTAGCATGAGTGAGTTAGTTGGTGAGCATGTGGGTTGGTGAGTAAGGTGAGTGAGTGGGTTGGTGAGCGAGCGGGTTGGTGAGTGGGTTGGTGAGTGAGGGGTTGGTGAGTGGGGTGAATGAGTGAGTGGGGTGGTGAGTGGCTGGGTTGGTGAGTGGGTTGATGAGCAAGTGGGTTGGTGAGTAGGGTGAGTGAGCGAGTTGGTGAGCGAGTGGGTTGGTGAGCGAGCGGGTTGGTGAGTGGGGTGAGTGAGTGGGTTGATGAGTGGGCTGGTGAGTGAGGGGTTGGTGAGCGAGCGGGTTGGTGAGTGGGGTGAGTGAGTGGGCTGGTGAGTGAGGGGTTGGTGAGTGGAGTGAATGAGTGAGTAGGGTGGTGAGTGGCTGGGTTGGTGAGTGGGTTGATGAGCAAGTGGGTTGGTGAGTAAGGTGAGTGAGTGAATGAGTTGGTGAGCAAGTGGATTGGTGAGTGGGGCGAGTGAGTGGGTTGATGAGTGGGCTGGTGAGTGAGGGGTTGGTGAGTGAGTGCATGGGTGTGTGGGTTGGTGAGTGAGTGGGTATACCAGATGAGGCACGATACGGGAGTGATGGTGGTGGAGGTGATGATGAAGTGTGGTGTGGAGGCAAAGGCGCACTCTCTACCTGCCGGCCGCACGCCGCTTCTGTGTGTCCTTGGCCCGTGACAGCGCGCCTGCCAGGGACAATGACAAAGGTCACCCGCATAGCCTCCATAGATTTTTGAGGCAAGTGCTGTTAATTCTAGCGCGGCCGTAGCGCAGCGCGCCAATCGCTACACTCGTCACACAGTCCCGGTTTTAGTCTCACAGATGGGAAGGTTGACCCAAGATGCACGTGGAATGGGACCACTACTACTCACCACTTGGCTCGACGGCTCAGGCTCCGTATTGAATGGCTAGGTGTGTATGTTGAACTTCTTTTGCACCGTACGCAGTCAACCGTGCTAATTGGAGGTGCCAGGGAAGGACCACAAACTTAAACACAAAAACAGCAGTTCCAAAGAAGTGAGTTTGTCGATCTAGATGATGATTTAAAAGTGCACAGCTCCAGTGGCTTCTTAAGTATCGGAAGGGAAGAGCGTTCCAGACGGCCGCAGAAGCGCATCTGAAAGCGACGCGCGACGCGGTGACCGCCGCCTTTGTTCGATGACGAGCAGCTAAAAGCCGCTGGCTGCTGCGAGAATGAGCGGAGTTCGCGTGACGATGGTTCATGCTCATTGACGAGATCAGCGAGGTGATCGTGGTTCATTTGTGGCGAGCGCTTTGCGTGCAACGAGCATTACTTTATAACGCTGCATCGTCCGGCAAACGGGAAGCCAATGCAGCTCAGCAAGCACTGGGCGGACACGGTTGCCCGTCGCGACACGGTGCTCAGAATTCTGTACACGCAAGATTTCAATGCAAGGAATATTCTCAACGATATTTTTTTCTTAACTCAACATATTTATCAATAACCGTTGTGGCCTTAAGAGGAAACACGTAATAATCACTGTTGTTGGGCATTGCACATAAAAGCCCATGCCAAAAAGTGACCTATTTTTATATATTTTTGTTTTACTTTTTAAGGCCGCAGTGTGGTCGATAAGTGTTGGAGTTGTTTTGTTCTCCGTACTCGTGTACACCGTTACCGACGCAGCGTCGCCAAATTATTTGTTGATCTTCTCAAACCAAAAGAGCCACCCCCGAGACTCGGTTGAGCGGTGCGCTCTTGCAGTGGCACCGTCACGACACGCGCCAGACAATTTTGTACGCAAGCCGCAGCTCTCGTTTCGTGTCCAGGGGGGAGAGACCTCAAACCTCGCCCCAGCGCGACGTCGCCACCCGCCCGCCCGCCCGCCCGCCCGCCCTCGTCTCCCAGAAAGGCCTCACTGTTGTTGCAGCTTGAGGAGCTCGGGGAAGGCCGCAGGTGAGGCCGCCGTAGAAGGTCACGGCCTCGTTCAGCGGCTCCGTGTCGGCTCTGGCGTGCGCGGTCGCCGCTAGCCCCGCCGCTCGGATGGCGTTCCCTGCCTGGACCAGCGCGGTGCCCAGCAGGCCGAGCCCGCCACCCCTCCACCGCCACCTCCGGCGGCGGCGGCGGGCGGACCCGGGCAGCGTGGCCAGCGCTGAGAAGGTGGCGCCCAGCTGGTTCAGCGCCAGCGCCAGGCGCTCGTAGGAGCGGCGGCCACCGTCGCGCCACTGCGACACCGCCTGCCACGTGGCGTTGGCGCAGCTCAGCCATGCTGCTCTCCGCGTTCACGTGGAAACAGCTGTGAGCCGAGGCAGAGCAGCGAGGTGCCACGTTTCTGGTGATTGTCCCTTCGTCGTTACCGTCAACGTACGCATCTCAATCTTGATTTTTTACATTGGAGGAATTCGATGAGCTGTAAAGACTTTTTTTTTTTGTTGTGCAGATGTGCAGCACGGGGCGGGTCAGAAAGTTTCACCAACAGACAATTAAAAAACAATAGCGGTGCCAAGTATAGGAAAGGTAAAGCGGTGTCGGATGAAGGCCACCCTCCCTCCCTCCCTCCGTTGTTGCCTTCCCGCACGGTCCTGCAAAGTCGTTTTTTTGAAATGACACAATCGGTCAACAGCGCAGTTTAACACGCAGTAGTCAGCTTTTCGCGACCAACTTTATCCATAAGAGTTGTTTTTGTTCTTTTGGGTTAGTTCGCAAAAATATGAATGTATCATGAAACACTGCCACCACCCGACACAGCCAAGTAGTAACCCCACAACATTTACAATTCAAGTACCGGACGGTTTCGCAGGCGTCAGCCAGATGAGGCTGGTTGTAGTTAATCACATTCACTGCCCGATGATTTTATCGAACATGAATGATTACTCAGCATTGAGTGCGGCCATCTCTTTCAACCAGGTGACAGCTCCTTCACATTCCCGATCGTTCTCCAACGAGGCTTATTGGCCACGAATCACGGTGGGGATGCCCCCAAAACACCGTGATCTCTGACCCGAACGGTCCCACACAGTGCCGGATGAAGCAAGTGCGGGGCCTTTCGCATATGTTATAAAGGGGGGCTAAATAAAAAAAACACAAGCAAATATTAAAAGACATACATTTTTAGCTTGCATAATAAAGTAATTGTATTTTTTCATTTGCTATACAGCCAGATAATACGACAAATCTCTAACCTTAAACGCCCAGTCGTTCATTAAAGTTGAAGGCGGTATAGTACTATAGTAATAGAGCCAAGTGCAGAATCACTGAACCGGAATTAATAGCTTGACAGCATTTAGCGTGGGGCCCTTGAAAGTGCGGGGCCCGTAGCGTGCTGCTGATTCTATGAACAAAGGTTGGGATGGCACTATGCCTTCCTGCCAGGGATAATCGATTAGACTCGCCAATCCAATGGCGTTGTCATCTCTTGTCTGCCAAGGATGTTTAGGGCACAGTTTTAGTTTCCTTTAGGCAGCGGGTTCTTAACCTTTACTGCAGCCTTATACCCCCTTGGATTCTCCGTCGTTAACATTTTTACGTGAATAAATACATCGGGGTTTGATGACACAAAGTCGCTGTACTGACATGCCCGTCCTTATTTTGTGTTTAGATGATTTACCATCTCGCACCCCAGGTTAAGAGCCACCGCCTTAAAGGGAAACGTGACTGCACACACGCACACACGCACAGCTCGCTTATGGATTGAGTGCACGGAAGGATCCACAGGTTCATATTCTTAGCTCTTTCGGTAAAGGGAAACAATAAAATAATAATATTTTATTATTTTATTTTATTGTTTCCCTTCAACGTGACGTTCATATTCTTAGCTCTTTCGGTAAAGTCACGTTGCTTGATAACGCTAACATACTTTTTGCACAAGTTTTAAACAATTCGTTTTTTTACACTCACGACGCAACGCCGCATGTATCGTGGGCACAAGCATCGATATGAATCAATGGAATAAAAAAAAACTGCGTGCGACTAATACCACAGCGACACAACTTGAGGGACAGGATGGCAGGGCCCCTGACCACGACTTTGAATGTTTTACAGTAATTAGTATCGTCAATGGATCTTAAAACGCTCTCCAGACAGACCGGGCATGCACGGGGTAGAGAATGCATCTGTGGCATCTGGTGGGCGTCTGTAGAAAGGAGGGTTAACCGCAAGGGATTGGGCTGATCTTGCAGCTCGCAGCAAGTAGCCTTAGTGGTCTTCATCCAGCAGTGGATTGTCGGTTGGGGTGAGACCGTTGTGGGGAAAACTAAGGGGATTGGTGGAGCTTCGCGGGGGAACATCCCAGGACGGAAAGAGAAGGGTGGTTAAAGGAGCAGATAGAGGTGGGGCTCGGAAGTCCAGGCGGTCATCGATTATCTGGTGGCCTTTGGGGGGGAAGGTTGCGCCGGATTTCCAAAAACGTCGGACAATTAGTCAATCATTATTTAAGGCAACTATTTTGCACACTGGTTGTATAATGTTGTGTTTTAAGTAATTGTGTTTTTAAATTATGATTTAAATGTAATTACTATTGAAATTGACACAAATAATCATACAAATAGACAAAAATAAATATCCTACTGTAAAAAAGTTACCGTATTTACTGTACCGTACTTACCATTCCAATCTCGAAGAGTCTGCATGTGGTGATGTACGCAGCAGTACCACCACGCGCTTGTTAGAACAACAACAACCACGTGTGGTTGACCATCATCGGACTGGTTCACAGCCTTCGCAAGCGGCTTTGAATGTTTCGCCGGATCGGCCCGGGACCGCCAGATCATGTTGGAAGCAGCCCGAGTAGATAATTAATCGATGATCGACTCTAATTCGCCAAAGCGTTCACTCGCTGAAGACGTAATAAAGTTCCAAATTCAAGACTTCTCACCCTACAGGGGGTCAGGGGGCTGGGACTCCTTAACAGGTTAACAAAAATAAAAAGGCCGCCTGGCTTGGCTTGCTGCTGCTGTGCGTGCGTGCGCTTGCGGGGTGCGTGCGTGTGTGCTGTGCGTGTGTGCTGTGCGTGTGCTTGCGGTGCGTGCGTGCTGTGCGTGCGTGCTGTGCGTGCGTGCTGTGCGTGTGCGTGCGTGCTGTGCGTGCGTGCTGTGCGTGCTGTGCTGTGCGTGCGTGCTGTGCGTGCGTGCTGTGCGTGTGCGTGCGTGCTGTGCGTGCGTGCTGTGCTGTGCGTGCTGTGCGTGCTTGCGTGCTGTGCGTGCTGTGCTGTGCGTGCTGTGCTGTGCTGTGCGTGCGTGCTGTGCTGTGCTGTGCGTGCGTGCTGTGCTGTGCGTGCTGTGCGTGCTGTGCTGTGCGCTTGCGGTGCGCGACCTTCATGGACTTGGCCAGCTCCTCCGCGTGCTGCAGGTCGGCGGCGCATCGGACGTCAACGCCGAGGTAGAAGCTGTGGCCCACGTCGCGGTCTCGCTCGGCGCGCCGCTTGCCGCCCTTCCACTCCTCCACGTTGTCGCCGCACGTCAAGAAGTGCCGCAAGACGTCGCACCTGCGGCGCCGTTCGGGGGTTGGGGGTGGAGTGGTGGTGGTGGGTTTTTTTTCCCGTTTCGCTTCGTGTACGCGCGCGTTCAGGATTCGCGTTGAAAGTTCAGGTTTGCGCCTGAACGCGCCGAAGATCTCGTGGCCCTCCCCCCATTGCGCGGGTTTAAGTCCTTGGGGAATTGTGGCGATCCGCAAACTCGAAGGCAAATGTGAAAAGTAGGGGTTTGATTCACGGTTCCTAAGACGACACCCACCCCTTTCTTTTGCTATCCTACGTGAACGCAAACGTGAGACAGGAAGTACTTTGTACGTTGAAAACGATCACAAATTTCCACGGCGTTAAATGTCACGTGTGCAGTAAGTGTATACAATGGGGGGGGGGGGGGGGAACAAGTACAATGTAGGAAGAAATATCGCGGGCGGAGAACCTCGATCCACCCTCAGGGGACGCTGGGAAGACCGCTGTGACCTCGAACCCGCAATGGTTTCAGTTTCAGTTTTCATTTATTTGGTATAGCCCTGTGAGCCATTCGGCTCTTGAATGTGCTGCGTGGCAGACAAGATTTGAGCCGAGGCGTCGTGCGTGTCCTTCTTCTGTGCGGCAGCATCATCGCGAGTAGCACAGTTAAAGAGTACTTGTAGAGACTGGTCCCTTCTCCCGTAACGCCACGGGTGTAGTAGGGAACGCGTTTTTGTTTGTTTGTAACGCGGACGCGAATCAGATATAACGCGGTTGAGCGAACCACTTCGCGCGAGTCGGGATAAGCGGTCGTACGGCTGCCCCGGCGGAGCATCACACAACAAGTTATTGGGATGCTGCTGGATGTGTCTAGACACTACCCACACGCCCCAGCCTCTGTTCAGCCGACGTACGCATCTGACGTGTTATCGCGGACCGTGCTTTACCATGATATTATTTTACGACAACGCGATTTTTCCCATAACGCGGCGTTCCTCAGCAAGGCAACTACCTCGTTATGGGAGGAGAGACTTCGCGATTCTTCACGATGCGCCCTGCACAGGAATCTCGCGATCGATCGCGAACGGTCGATCCGCAGGGTGTCGCGACCGGCGGACCCTGGAACCTCGACAAGCGTGGCGCAAACGGTGAAATCCGCGATGGGAAAATACCCGCGGGTGATCGAGGTTTACGGTGTATTTAACGGAATTGTTGATACTTTATTGTGGCTGACAGTCACCCCCTTGAGATCAGCGAAAGTGCTGAACTTGTGGCGGTTTTGAGAAGTCGCCTGATATCAGGAGCGGCGAGGGTCTCGGTAACTGTGCGCCTCTGCAAGCACAGAGAGAATCTTTGAAGTGAAATGTAAAATGCGAATACGGTATGGCTGCTCACCCCGCAACTAGAAATGCTCTGATCGTGCGTTGTCTTTGTGTTGTTCGCTAATTGGTGTTCTGTGGTCTGACGCTGGTGAGACTCAGCCATGCAGAAGGCTGTCTCTGGTGTAGGCCAGTTTCAAAGACAATGCAGGCATTATTATCAGAGAATGTTGTGTTTGCATGTTCACCACAAGTGTAAGGCGTGGTTCATGCAGTAGACTTGATTCCTTGCAAAACGTTTATATTTTGTGTTTGAACATCTTAACACAATTGTTTTATTGCCAGAAAGTGTAAAACCTCGTCTTGTTTTTGTATGCAGTGTTTGTTTGCATGAGATTACTCTTGAGCTGGATGAATTGGCCCGTGGTTTTTTGTTATTGTAAAGAGTTTTTACTGTCAAGTGCCCTGGGATGCCTTCTGCAAGAAGAACGCGGCATACTTCACGTGTAGCTATTACGTACTACACGTGTAGTAGCTACACGTGTAGTAGCCACACGTGTAGTAGCTACGGGCCCCGCACTTTCAAGGGCCCCGTGCTAAATGTTTTCAAGCTATCAATTCCGGTTCAGTGATTCTGCACTTGCTCTATTACTATAGTACTATACTGCCTTCGACTTTTATGAACGACTGGGTGTTTAAGGTTAGCCATTTGTCGTATTATCTGGCCTTATATAAAATGAAAAAATACAATTACTTTACTATGCAAGTAAAAAATTAGTGTTTTAATATTTTTTTTTTAATTTAGGGCCCCTTTATGACATATGCCACAGGTCCCCGCACGAGCTTAATCCGGCACTGCCACCGCCGCTCCGTGTCTCACCCGGCGAGCGCGGGGTGGCCCGTGACGTGCTCCAGCCACAGCGAGAGCTCGCCCACGCGTCGCCGCACGCACTCGGGCGCGTAGCGCGCCGCGGCGGGCAGCGTCCCGGGCAGCCGCGGCACCACCACGGCGGGGAACTTCTCCTCGAGGCGCGCCCGCAGCCACGCGAACTGCTTGTAGCGGCGCCACACGGGCGAGGGGGCCGGCGAGTCGGCCGCCGCCGCCGCCGCCGCCGACGACGACGACGTCGTGAGCTCGTAGGCCAGGTAGCTCTTGATGCCGCCGAACTTGCTCCGCTTGGAGGGCGCGCTGACGGCGCACGTGAAGCGCGCGGGGTCGTCCAGCCACTCGGGCGTCCCGTGGGCTCCGCCGATCGCGACGCAGCGGCCGCGGTCCGTCGCCGCCTGCAAATGAGGTGGGGCGGGGGGGTGGGGGGGATGTTGGGCCAGGTGAGAAGGCGAGAGACGAGGATAGCCTCATGAGCGAGAGTGACCGGGGCCAGCAACAATAACGCAAAGCGATAACGTAACAACGGAGCGTGGCCTTGAAGCGAATAGAAATCGGAGAGGAGGAGGAAAAAATTACTGAGCGGAATGAACCTGCGGTCAAAACTGCCGCATCATCATCATCATCTTGACTTAAAGCTTTCGTGACTGCAGGAATTCATATTATTGGGTCTTCCGGTAAAGTCACGTAGATAGTTTGACCCTATCTACGTGACTTTACCGAAAGACCAAAGAATATCATCGTCATCACCACGCGTCTCACCTCCGTCGCTGCCGTCCCATCATCATCCCTGACCCCATCGCCATCCCTGACTTTGGCTGCTAGCCTCGTCCATCGTCGGCGGCGGCGGCGGGTGGCGCATCGTCGCGATCGTTCGACCGCAGGAAGGTGTCGGCCGTAGCGCCCATGGCCGTCGTGCCCACCATCTCCACGTTCTGGTAGTGTGCGGAGGGGAGAGCGTCGTCGCCGCTGGAGAAGGAGGAGTCGCCGCTGTCGAACGAAGAAGCCACGGACGTGCGCGCTTCGAGTGAAGGACGGCGGCAGAAGGCGACGGAGGAGTAGGCGATGGGAAGGCCCGGGCACTCGTACACGGTCGTTGCAGGGAGCTGCGCGGAGGGAACCGTACACGCAAGAGTGAGCAGCGGAACGGCCGAAACACAGCAATGTATACCCAGTACCCCAGATGCCTGCCCCGTGTACACCGATGCCGCTTGATAAGTGAACTTGCTGTCGCGCGAGTCGAATCAACCTAAATTGGGCTTCGTGTACAATATTCAACCTGCTATTGGCAATGTTATGCCTGATTCGGGAGCATGTACGTGTCTGCACGTTGAACTTCTTTCGCACCGTACGTAGCCAACCGTGCTGCTGATCAGAGGTGTGGGGTGGAAGGACGACAACACGAACACACAAAAAGCTATAATAATAATAATTATAGGGTTTTCCCCCTTTTTTTGGCAACAAAACTGAAACCTTTTTACGAGGATTCATGTCTGCATTAACCACAATACCTGCAGTCAAAATGCAAACAAAAAAACACACTAAATTTTGATTTAAAGCTTTCGTGACTGCAGTAATTCATATTCTCAGTTTTTTCGGTAAAGTCACGTTGAAGAGAAACAACAAAATAATAAAATATATATAAAACAATAAAAAAAATTCTCACGACGTTTCGACCATAACTCAAACGGTCATCTTCAGGTGTGTCGGTTTGCATAAATTTATTTTTAAACGGCGCATTTATTTATTTATATAAAACGTTAGCGTCACGCGCTGCGATTTGGCATTTTGCCCAGGACCAGTCCATCTATATTTTGAAAAGAGGAGGGGGGAGACGAAATTTTTTATAATGTATGCTGTCTGAAAGCCACTGTAAGCGTGAACAATCAATTAAGAACTGAAATGGTTTATCAAATCTTTCCAATGATTGCTAAGATAGAATCCATCTTCTCGGTTGAAATTGTCTCTGTGCTTGTATATGTGGATAGCCTCATGAACGAATCTCTCATGGAAGCCAGATGGCTTACAAAGAACCTCTGTCTTGGAAAAGTCAATGGCATGTGAGCCTACTGAATTAGAACAATGATCTGCTACGGCCGAGGTGTTGGTCCTACCGTGTTTAAGGTCTGCTTTATGTTCACAAATGCGGTCCGAGACATGGCGTTTGGTTTCTCCAATGTAACTACTACCACAGAGGCAACTTAGTTTGTAGACACCAGGGTATTGTATGTCCGGAATCACATCTTTTACAGACGGAACCAGAACACAAGATCCAGGTCCGTTTCAACACATTACATAAAAAAAACTAAGAATATACCGAAAAAACTAAGAATATAAAAAACACACAATGATAATATATTGGCATTGTCCTTGAAACTGATTGGTTCTCACCAAGGGACGGCTTTCTTTCAGTTTTGTTGCCAGAAAAAAGGGGAAAACCCTATTATTATTATATTTTGGTACTGGCAAAAGAGGTCTAATGACACAAAAAGCTGTTCTAAAGAAATGAGTTTGTCAATCTAGATGATGTATGTATGTATTTCTACTTACGTGACTTTACCGAAAAAAACAATGAGTAATTTTATGCAGTCACGAAAGCTTTAATACTTTATAATCTAGATGATGATTTAAAAGTGCATAGCTCCAGTGGCTTCTTCATATTGGAAGGGAAGAGCGTTCCAGACGGCCGCAGAAGCGCATCTGAAAGCGCCGCGCGACGCGGTGACCGCCGCCTTTGTTCGATGGCGAGCAGCCAAAAGCCGCTGGCTGCTGCTACTGCGAGGATGAGCGGAGTTCGCGTGATGATGGTTCATGCTCATTGACGAGATCAGCGAGGTGATCGTGGTTCATTTGTGGCGAGCACTTTGTATGTCATAAGTGCGACCTTATTAATGCATTCGTCCGGCAACGGGAAGGCAATGCCGCTCAGCAAGCACTGGGCGGACACGGTCGGATCTTGCCGTGCCCGTCACGACACCTGCTCAACAATTCTGTACACGCGCAAGATTCCAATGCACAAATCTTCTCAATCATATATATTTTTTTAAATCAACACATTTATAAATAGCGCGTTGTGGCCTTAAGAAGAAACATAATCGCCCACATTTTGGACAATGGCACTTCGTCATTGCACGTAAAATACCACTGCCAAAATATGACCTATTTATTTTTTACTTTTAAGGCCACAGTGTTGTTGATGAAAGTGTACATTTTGACTTAAATCTTTCGTGACTGCAGGAATTCATATTCTATGGTTCTTTCGGTAAAGTCATGTAGATCGAAAAAATAATAACAAAACAATAATAAAAATAAAGTGAATAAACAACTAATACCATGACGTTTCGATCGGAACACAAGCGATCGTCTCCTGATGACGATTGCTTGTGTTGCGATCGAAACGTCGTGATATCTGTATAATTTTTTAATTCACTTTATTTTCATTATTTGATTGTTATTATTTTTTCGAACCATAGAATGATGAAAGTATTTGAGTTGTTTTGTTCTTTAGTGGCTCGTGAGTACCATTTCCGACGCAGCGTCGCCAAATTATTTGTTGAATGATTCTCAATCAAAGAGGGCCTCCCCCCTCCCCCTGCGAGGCTCGCTGAGCCTTTCCACCCATTAGGACGCCCATCATTACGCCATCGACGCGATGCATGCGGTGTCAGGACACAAGGCGGGGAGCAGCTTGAAACACCGGGCCCACAAAGTAATGTCCACGGTACCAATTGAAACCTCCCGCAACCCTTGACATCATGACAGCTAAGAGTGGCCGGTGACTCCCTTGAGGTTGACAAGCGGTGGCGAAAGGCTTGGCGGGCGGGCGGGCGGGCTTGGAAGCGGTGTGTGTTCGCTTGATAAACAGTGGGCGGTTTTTGTCACACACGTGGAAGCCATGAGAATTCAACATCCACGATAGAGGTTTTTTGTTTGTTAGATCGCGTAAATATAAATGTGTCGTTAAACCCGTCACCACCCGACACACAGCCAATTAGTAAGGTTTGTCACGTGAGCAAAACATGCCAATTCGTTACTAGTACAGCACTAGCCGGTGTGTTGGAGAGTAAGTGTTGTGGGTTTACTCTCCAACACACCAGTGTGTGCTGAACTAGTAACGAATTGGCAAACCTTACTAATTGGTTATGGCGGGTTTAACAACACATTTATACTTACTCGATCTCACCCAATAAAACCTCTATCGTGGATGTTGAATTCTCATGCCTTCTACGTGTGTGACAAAAACCGGCCACTGTTTATGAAGCGAACACACACCACATATCTTAATGATAATATTGGTCACGAAAGCCTACTGCGTGTTTAACAACTCAACATTGTGGCACACTGCTCAGCCGACGGGTGGCATTCTTGTTGCATGCATCGGGGCCAAAGAGAGACGCTGTCGCGTTCGCACGGATTTCCCACGCAGTGCTCACCGTATCGTAATGCTCATGGTGAGGATCGTGGTGGAGGTGGTGGTGGTGTCGTGGGGTTTGCTGCTGTGTCGTGCCCTCCAGACTCGGGTGCAGGACCACTGCGGGGCTCAAGTTGCGGTAGTTGACCAGGCTGTACATCATGGCCGGGCACGGTGGAAGTGCCGTTGCCTCGGTCTGCTCTGGATCTTCCTCGAAGGTGTTGAAAGCCTGCCTGGGGAGGTGGCCATCCGCTGTGGCGTTCCAAACATTCCGGGAGCTCTCTTCAGAACGCGAGTCCTTTGACATGCTGTCAGACAACAACAACAACAACACGTGTGCGCGCTTGTGAATAAACTTAGCAAACAGAAAAAAAATCGCAGCGAAGAAGCGGTTTTGACTGCTACTTTTATGGAACGAAAATCCCAAACCCCCTAAAAAAATGTTGTCCCCCGCAATTAAAAACTGCCAAAAGAGGATGCGGTTTCTGGTTTAAAATGTTTAAAACAAGTTAAACAGCGACTTTTGAGAACCAAATTCACATTTGGCGAAATTCATCAGCCCTTCTCTTTAATAAGCACGCAGTCAGCCACATGCCGGCGATGGGAGGGGGTGGGGGGAGGGGGCACTCTAGTTTTGTATAACGCAGCTCCACATGAATCCGACGGGCGTGAAAGCTGTTTGGCACCCCCCAGATCCACAGACCTGCGCTCAGTTCGTCGTCCTTACCCCCGCACCTCCGACGAGCACGGTTGGCTCCGTGCGGCGCGAAAGAAGTTCAACGTACGTACGTGCGTCGCGTGCACGTGCATTGGGATTGCAACCACTTTCGCCACAGACCAATCCGGTTCAACATTTCCAAGTCAGATCTCGGTAACAGATCAATCGCTGCCAGCCCAACACAGATTTTAACAGCGGCAGGGGGACTGGTCATTGTTTGTTCCTGAATGAGGATGGCCACCTGACCGACAGCGGTTGTGCATGTTTGAACTCGTGCACGTGTACGCGGTCCGTTGCAGGGAGCTGCGGAGAGCGAACCATTGACACAAAAGGTGAGCACCCAGAACTGCCTAAACATCTTATTCATCATTAGACCTCCTTTGCCAGGTACCAAGAATGTAATAATAGGGTTTTCCCCTTTTATCTCGTCCGGTGCAAAAAACTGAAACCTTTTTACAAGGGTTCATGTCTGCATTAACCACAATACCTGCAGTCAAATTCAAACAAAAAAACATACTATGATAATAATATATGCGTTGTCCTTGAAACTGATTGGTCCACACCAAGGGATGGCTTTCTTTTGAGCCTCGAGACCCAATTGGTGCTCGACCAGATGATGCCAAAAGGCGTACCAATTGGGTCGAGGCTCAAAAGAAAGCCGTCCCTTGGTGTGGACGCAATCAGTTAATGCAGACATGAATCCTTGTAAAAAAGGTTTCAGTTTTGTTGCCAGAAAAAAGGGGGAAAACCCCTATTATTATCTCTATTCATGTACGTATGTTAAACTTTATTTTTCGCACCTTACGTAGCCAACCGTGCTAATCAGAGGTGCGGGGGAAGGAGAACTATGTGTCCTCTGTGTGAGTCTATGGGTCTCTGTGTGAGTCTATGGGTCTCTGTGTGAGTCTATGTGTCTCTGTGTGAGTCTATGGGTCTCTGTGTGAGTCTCTGTGTCTCTGTGTGAGTCTATGGGTCTCTGTGTGAGTCTCTGTGGTCTCTGTGTGAGTCTATGGGTCTCTGTGTGAGTCTATGGGTATCTGTGTGAGTCTATGGGTCTCTGTGTGAGTCTATGGATCTCTGTGTGAGTCTATGGGTCTCTGTGTGAGTCTATGTGTCTCTGTGTGAGTCTATGGGTCTCTGTGTGAGTCTATGGGTCTCTGTGTGAGTCTATGTGTATCTGTGTGAGTCTATAGGTCTCTGTGTGAGTCTCTGTGTCTCTGTGTGAGTCTATGGGTCTCTGTGTGAGTCTCTGTGTCTCTGTGTGAGTCTGTGTCTCTGTGTGAGTCGAAGTGTCGCTGTGTGAGTCTATGGTTCTCTGTGTGAGTCTCTGTCTCTGTGTGAGTTTATGATCTCTGTGTGAGTCTGTGTCTCTGTGTGAGTTTATGTGTCTCTGTGTGATTCTGTGTGTCTCTGTGTGAGTCTCTGTGTCTCTGTGTGAGTCTATGGGTCTCTGTGTGAGTCTCTGTGTCTCTGTGTGAGTCTATGGGTCTCTGTGTGAGTCTATGGGTCTCTGTGAGTGTATGGGTATGTGTGTGAGTCTATGGATCTCTGTGTGAGTCTATGGGTCTCTGTGTGAGTCTATGTGTCTCTGTGTGAGTCTATGGGTCTCTGCGTGAGTCTATGGGTCTCTGCGTGAGTCTATGGGTCTCTGCGTGAGTCTATATGGGTCTCGGTGTGAAGTCTATGGGTCTCTGTGTGATCATTATGGGTCTATGCGTGAGTCTGTGGGTCTCTGCGTAAGTGTATGGGTCTCTGTGCGAATCTACGGTTCTCTGTGTGAGTCTATGGGTCTCTGCGTTGAGTCTATATACAAACACAGAGACAATTTCAACCGAGAAGATGGATTCTGGCTTAGCAATCATTGGAAGGATTTGATCAACCATTTCGGGTCTTAATTGATTGTTCACAGAGCTTACGGTGGCTTTCAGACCGCATCCATTATTTCGTCTCCCCCCTCCTCTTTTCCGAACATAGATGGACTCGTCCATCTGAACAAACTGCCAAATCGCTCTTCGTGGTGCTAACGTTAAAAATAACCGCACTTTTTTCAAATTTTCTTGTTGTGGTTTTCACACCTGATGATGATTGCTTGTGTTGCAGTCGAAACGTCGTGAGAATTTTGTTGTTTTATACACACTCACTCCACACACTTTAAATCGCGTGCATCCGAGCTTGCAGAGAGGAGGACGCGATGTTGCACGCGACACAGAAGTTTGAACTCAAGTGAGAGCCGTCCACGTGAGTTCGGGGGCGGTGAGCGACGTTGCCTTTTATAGAGGAGCGTAAACGAGTTCGCGCGCGGTCTGCTTATCAAGAAGAATAAAAAATAAAAGTTCTGCCCCAACAGCCTGTAACAGGCTCAGGTACTAATTTGAGGCCGAGTCTACCTAGGAGAGGCCATGGACCGGTTCAGATAATCGTCACTTGGTGTTGGCCGTGAGCGGGAATCGAACTCGGGTCGCCGGGTTCGTAGCGTAGCGCGCTAACCACTACACCACAACAACCGCCATTCGCCACTAAGTGACGGTGACGTCACCACGATGCTTGTGCCAGGCCATGTGCACCTTGAGGCCACGTGAAATGTCGAACGCCCGCTGGCAACAGGTCACGGGGCAGACCCAGGTGCCACGGGTCGACTGACTGAGATGACTGAGATGACTGGCTGATGCACCACCTGTGCCCCCTATTGTGCCAACTTGCTGTGCTTTAGCCACCCGGCGCTCCGCTCGTTGTTGTGAGCTTCGCTCCTCCGCCCTCTGTTGTTGTTGGAGGGCAACTGCCTCCAACTGCCCAGTAGCAGCAGCGTCCTTCACGAGCCTCCTCCACTGAGGCCGATCTTAACACCGCTGGTACCAGTCATCGGCAAGTCCACTCAGCTCCACATCCTCCTGTACCACATCACTCCATCTCTTCTCTAGCCTGTGCCGTGCTCGTTTAGCCCCCTCTATCCGGCCGAACAAAAGATGTTTGGGCATGCGGTGGCTGGGCATGACCCAGCCAACGCAGCCTTGCCTGCCGGAGGAGCTCACCGATGGGACTTTGCCCAGATCTTTGAAGGATTTGTGACCTCCTCACACAATCCAGCCTGGTTAAACCCAGAATGGATCGTAGGCAGGCCAGCCTAAATGTTTTTAACTGGCGAAGATGCTCCATTAGGGGGGTCCACGTTTCGCAAGCGTAGAGAAGGGAGGGAATGACCGTGGCCGAGAAGACCTGAAGCTTCGTGCGGAGCGACAGACCAGGTAGCTTCCACACAGCGTTACGCAACCGATGAAAATATATTGCCGCTCGACTGATTCGGAGTGAGACCTCTGCTATTAAACCGGAGCCGTCATGAGCACACTGCCCAGGTATGGGAAACTCTCTACTCTCTCCACAACTGCCCCATCACCAATTAGGAGTTGTGGAGGTGGAGTGTCCGATGGTACAAAATACCCAGGCAGGTGCTGAGTTTTGGTGGGGCTGATGGTAAGGCCCCACCTCTTCGTGGCACGATCCAGATTCAGCAGCAGCGTCTCCAACTCCTCCTCTGAATGAGCAGCAATTACCAAATCATTGGCATACGTAACGTGATTGACCAATAGGGAGCCATCCCTTGACCGCACCCGGGCATCGATCAGCCTCCCATTATATCTGTACCAAATGGAAATTCCCCCCATACAGCTATTGAAGGCTTCACGAACTACGTGGTCAAAATAGATGTTAAATAATGTGGGAGCCAGAGGACATCCCTGTCGCACCCCAAGGTGTACAGGGAATGGCTCTGACTCCCGGCCACGTAGTTTTACCCGGGCCCGCTCACCATCATGGGGGTCCTTAATGATCGTGAGCAGAGGGTCAGGGTCTCCGAAAGCACGAAGAACAACCCAGAGCCCAGGCCTACTGATGGTATCATAGGCCTTGACCAGGTCAATAAAGCAGAGATGTAGAGCTTGTGGAAATTCCCTACACCTCTGCTGTAGCAGACGGACAGAAAATATGGCATCTGTGTAGGACCGCCCTATCCTGAAGCCGCATTGGGGCTCCGCAAGCCTCTCCTCAGCGTGCCTAGCAAGGCGATGTTGAATAATCCTTGCCAGGACCTTTCCCGGCACACTGAGGAGTGAGATTCCCCTGTAGTTGTTACAGTCTGTGCGGTCCCCCTTCTTAAAGAGGGGTATCCTTCCAGTCCTGCGGAATCCGTCCAGTGGTCCAGACTGTTGTTATGATGTCACGTAGGGCAGTCTGTGCACAAACGCCACCCTCCCTTATCATTTCGTTTGGGAGATCATCTCTGCCCGGTGCCTTTCCTGGTCTCAGACTCTGGATCGCCTTCAGTACTTCCTCAACAGATGGCACCTCAGCCACCCACTCACAGGGGGTGACTTCTTCCAATATTTGAGGCACCGCAGCCTCAGCAGGGTCATCCCACTTTGTGTCACGATGTGTTTTCCTGGCTGAGGATTTCCCCTCCTCCAGGACCTCACGAAATGCTCAACAAATATGCAAACCTGTTCCTGGGAGTCGGAGATTGGATCACCGTTTTTTCCCCTAATGATGGTAATAGGTGTGGCGCTGCAGGTTACTTTTTTATGGAGTTAAATAGGGAT